CATGGGGGTTTCCACGTTTGACGAAGAAAACAAGGGCGGTTCTCGTCCGCTCAGCCGACAAAAGACGCGTTCTACAGTTTCATTTATCTCTTTCCCTAACCCATCCTTCTCAAGTATCAGTTCCCAAACTGATTTCGATGCCTTCTCCAACACCGGACCTCTGCCCACAAAAACAACAATAAACAGGGTAAATAATATTCTACCAACTCTTCTTTTCAACTAAACAAGACAGCAAGATTAAACCAGGCAAAGAAGTCGATACTGCAGCTCCGAGGAAATTAGAACATTACTCATCATGAATAGCCTACATAATTCAATCAGCTCCAAAACTAGCTAGGGGCTAGAGTTTAAGAATGTGAAGTAGAATAATGCAAAACCGATAACCATATATGCGCTTAGTTTGCAAATAAACAGAGAAAAGGTTTTCGTACATATTACAAAATACTTACTTAACCATACAAAGAAGTAGCTAACCAAAATCAATGTACAATTATCAAGTGTCTAAACGAGTAAATAGAGAGGAATGTTACTCAAGTTCTTGACGAAGAGCATCAAAGAGTTCTCGTTTAGTCTGTTTCTCAGCACCAGGTGTGTTAAGAACTTTACTCTCCTCTGCCATTTTAATGGTTGTGCTCTTGAGCTCTTCCTATTAAAATCAAAATCACAAGAAAAGACATTTTACTCAAAAGGCATTTTTGCTTCATATGATCTGGATTTGAGAAATACGTAGCATCCCAGAAAAAAAAAGCCCCAACTTCTTTACAAACTAAGGAATCAATCTAAATCCAAGAACGAAACTAATCCCAGAAAGAAAAAATTTGTCTTTTGTTAGGAATAAAAAGAGTTTGTTTGTTGAAGAGAAGGAATGAAATTACATTGGCTTTGAGCTGATTGATGATCTTCAACCGAAGGGCATCGATGGTCCCATCGTTCATGAGAGATTCAAGTACGTCTTCTGGTGTAATTACCGAAGAAGACGACATTCTTCTTCCAATCCCTAACTCAAAACCCTAAAAAACGTTTTTTTTCTTTTTCTTTCAAACCACCAGACACAGAGAGCCGCAAAAAAGTTGTGAAGAAAAAGCTGAATTTCGTTCGTACTCCAAATTCTGTCGAGAGATCAGAGATTGAACGCGACTTTCTTTCGCCGGAAATTTTCGACCTTGTTCCTTTTTATGGCGTATTGTGACTCGAAACACACAATTCGGGTTTTCATTAACCGAATCAATCAATCTAATACATACTGAACCGAATCTAATTGACGGATTTTGATTTGTTACATTTTCAATCATAGTATTAATCTCAGTAGTATTATTTTACAAATTGTTTCTCCAATCAATATTTTACCTTTCAGTTAGCAGATTAATTAT